ATATAAAGCACTATGTGGTATAATTTTAGTAATCCAAATCATGATAATGTATTACAACCTATGGCCTGTTCTATAGAGTCTCTAACAATGATTATTAGTGAAGTTATGTGCCACCTCCCTTATTAAGATAATAAGGATGTAACTAACACATAATAAGCGTCGGCTAAGTCTAGCCGGGTACGTTTTATAAAGTAATAACAAGGGGAGTAAGTTCTTATAGTTCTTATGATTAGTCTTATAATTAGTTAGGAGATGGCCACAACGGTTTAACCAAGTGTTTAGTTGATTACATATGTTCTACTAGGTAGTGCATCTTGATTTGGTATACCCATCATTTAGTTATAACCGGTTAGCTGTATCCGATATAAAGCACTATGTGTTAATGTATTGTATTACAACCTATGGCCTATTCTATAGAGTCTCTAACAATGATTATTAGTGAAGTTATGTGTCACCTCCCTTATTAGGATAATAAGGATGTAACTAACACATAATAAGCATCGGCTAAGTCTAGCCAGGTACGTTTTATAAAGCAATAACAGGGGGAGTAAGTTCTTATAATTCTTATGATTAGTCTTATAATTAGTTACGCGATGGCCACAACAATTTAACCAAGTGTTTAGTTGATTACCTATGTTCTACTAGGTAGTGCATCTTGATTTGGTATACCCATCATTTAGTTAGAACCGGTTAGCTGTATCCGATATAAAGCACTATGTGGTATAATTTTAATAATCCAAATCATGGTAATGTATTACAACCTATGGCCTGTTCTATAGAGTCTCTAACAATGATTATTAGTGAAGTTATGTGCCACCTCCCTTATTAGGATAATAAGGATGTAACTAACACATAATAAGCGTCGGCTAAGTCTAGCCAGGTACGTTTTATAAAGTAATAACAAGGGCAGTAAGTTCTTATAGTTCTTATGATTAGTCTTATAATTAGTTAGGCGATGGCCACAACGGTTTAACCAAGTGTTTAGTTGATTACATATGTTCTACTAGGTAGTGCATCTTGATTTGGTATACCCATCATTTAGTTAGAACCGGTTAGCTGTATCCGATATAAAGCACTATGTGTTAATGTATTGTATTACAACCTATGGCCTATTCTTAAGAGTCTCTAACAATGATTATTAGTGAAGTTATGTGTCACCTCCCTTATTAGGATAATAAGGATGTAACTAACACCTAAAAAGCGTCGGGTAAGTCTAGCCAGGTACGTTTTATAAAGTAATAACAAGGGGAGTAAGTTCTTATAGTTCTTATAATTAGTTAGGCGATGGCCGCAACGGTTTAAGAAAAATATAACCACTGCAAATGTGGGGCCCACCAGAGCACTATTCATCCTTTATTTTGCTCATCTCATGGGCAAAAAATAACAAATGCTCATGGGCATTATCACTTTTGCTCACCATTGCAAGACTACTTCTACCAAAATGCCCAGAGCATTTTATTTTTCCCACCATTGTAAGTGCTCTAAGTTATCGTTTAACCAAATGGATGTGAACAATATAATTTAGTAAAAATATTTATTGTGTAATTAATCAAAACGATGTACATAGTTTTAAACCTATCTTCTATGACGTCATGCTATTAAGTCGGACATTGGTAGTGTTTCGAATTGGGAGGCTTTAGAGCAAAGCACTAAAGCAAAAATATCACTTTACAAAGATACGGAGACACGGAGTACATAAAAACTATCATTCTCGACACATACGGAGTACAATATAAAACACCAACTATCCTTGTCGCATTTATTGAGATGTTGTAATTCCCAATTGAACCCTAACCGTAAATGTTCCCAAAACTCAATGCCCCACCCGCAACCCTTATTCTCTCTCCTTCTTCCCCCTTCTCTCTCCTTCTTCCCCCTTCTTCTCTCTCCTTCTTCTCCTACTGTCTGTCTAAATATCGTTCACTACCGTAGTTGGTTTTTCCATTTTGTCCGGCGCCGAGCATACTGCCGTCATTCTACCTTTCGTTGCGCCCTTCCCCAAGTAACTAAGCGTCGCCCTGAGAGCGATAATAGGGAATTCTCCTGTTAAGGTACACGGTTACAACCTTAATACTAATTTATCTAGTTATATTACGAAATTATACCCAGATCTACATTATGTTGACTTGTTTTGTCGTTAAAACGTACAATTTATGAAATATTGCTTTAAGTTGTTAATAATATGTTGTTGTAAATTGTTAATTTCCTTCCATTTTGTCGCTTCTATTTTTTAATTTAATTATGAAAATGTTTTCCTCATCATTGGGTGAATGACGGTGTGTCATTATGTTATTTGTTTTTTTTTTCCCTTCGATTTTATTTAAAATTTGGAGATGTTGTGGATAAAATCCAAAAAAATAGGAAATTACATCTTGTTCTTTCGGTTGTTGTCATTTGCGCTTTCATTAACCATTACACAAATGCTTTGGTTGGTCGGTTTGGTTGGTAGGTGCTTAGAGTTAATTACCAAATCATGAATATAGTATAGTAAGTAAGGACCTTGTTTTTGCGTGATTCGGTACATTAGCAAACTGGGCTTGATGAGTTTGAATTACAGATCCTTTATTTAATTGGAAAAAAATTAATATTTGTGTTGGATTTATAAACTGGCAGTGATTAGATTTGTTCGTTACACAAATTATTCTTTTTGCCTTTTTGGAATGGTGACCTTTGGTAATGAGTAATAAAAATAACAAATATTGTTGTTTACATTATTACTATAAATTTTGGATGAGGTTGATATTATTATTAAAGTATATGTCTTGGATATTTAGCATTACCTTTTTAGCCAATCCAACAACTCTTGTCATACCATAATTCAATTTTTGTCTTTTAAAAAATCGCCATTTACAGGAATATATTTCCAATCCATGTGATTAAACGCTTTCGATGCACGTCTTTATCTTTGACATCACCCTGCTATGTATAGTGGAGTTGTGCATGTATACCTAGTTAACAGATGTTTTGGTGTAGTTAAAAAAGGCATTGACCAAGTTGGTGGGAATTCAAAGTGTGTACCATGTTTTACGCTTTATAGAGGTTGTCGTACCTATGTGTATGTGTGTGCATATGAATAAAAATGCTGTATACAACTCACAATTTTGGTAATGGGTTGCAAAGCTAGTTATGTATAACCTATGTGATTGAGTTTATGTTTTATAATCAATACATAATGGCTATTATTTTGTTTAGGCGATCATGACTCATCCTAAATACCCAAGTTTCGATGTTGAGATCGACTATAACCACCTACAAACCTTGGTGAGAGCCTTTTTAATCTACTCTTGAGTGTGATCTAATTTCATAACATGCCATTCTTTTATTATGGTGTACTACTAAATGTTATGCACCTTCGCAGCCAATTCCGAACAGGATTAGTAAGATACTTAAAGGTGTTTCGATTGTTAAAGTTCATCGAGGACAGGATCCTAAGGTGTACTCCATCAACTTGTTTTATATCTCGTATGGACATTGGGTGCAGACACGTTTTGGCAGCGGATGGGACAGGTTCATAGATGAGAACGACATTCAACTCGAAGACTTGCTTGAAATCACTTACCAGGGAGATAACTATTTTCATGTGGTTGTTTTTAGGGGAGGGATAGAGATCCCGAATGCAATTGACCCCGATGTCATTGTTCTTTCGAGTTCCGGAGATGATATTCCCAATGATGATGATGATGGCCCTGACGAGCGCGAGGGACAGCCTGAGTTCACAGCAAGATTCACGCAACCCTACATTAATGTAGGTAGACTGGTAAGATATTTTGCTGATGATTCCCCCTTATTATGCTTTTTTTGAAGCTAATATTCACTTGTAAACTTTGGTACACAGAATATGACTTGATGTCGCCTTTCCCATGTGAACGACCAATTTTGTAGAATGTGCCATTGGATTTTGCAAGATCACATTTGGACTTCCTGGGGCCTGAAACGACAGTTGATGTATGGATGAGGAGTACAAAGTACCCATGTTGTCTGTATGTGAAAAGGGACTCAAGTGACGAAATCAGGCTATGCAACATCAGGAGTGGCATATCTGACATGACCCGGGGAGAGACGATTAAGAAGGGGGATCGACTGGTGGTGCAGATGATTTCCAACTCTCCCCCGTCTTTCAAGGTGTTGTTTGCATAGGCCATTATTGTGCTTTTTCGGTCTCGTTTGGAATTTGTATTACGTCTACTTTGTCTTGCTACATTGTCACTTTCTCTTTAATACCAAGACCTCCATTATATTAGATGTATCTTTTCATCGGCTTTATATTAACTCACCGGGTCTATTATCATAAATGGAGTAACATTGGTCACATACGATGAACTAATGGCTTATGTCGTACCAGAATGGAGATAAACAACACTGAAGTTAGATTTAATTATTTACTGTCATATTTAATTACTTGTGCAATATATATTGAATTAATTGTGCACCATATATGGATTATATTTATTAAATCAATTCAAGCACCTAATGCGTCATCTTTAAATGTACACTAATTTTTGTCATCGATTTTTATTTAATCATCACATGAATAGTCTGAGCATGATGACTGCTTTATTGTAAGAGCTAGCTCTAGTTTTACATTTTTTTGAATTTAATTATTTTATAATGAGTACTTACTTATTAGTAAACATAAAAAAAAAAAAAAAGGTCGTATATACCATTTATGTAACGTACAAATAGTAAGTTACAGTTGGTATACAAAACTTAAACATAACAGTTGGTACTTAATTGTGCCTCCAACTTAATTGTAAAATTCATGAAAAAACTGAACTGAAGTACTTCAACGCTTACGTGGTACGTCATAACACGAAGAGGTATGAAAACAGATAATTGCGTCGTTTAACGCGCGCTCTATTTCGACCACACACCCCCATACGTCACAAGTCAAATATCGCCTGACATCACCATTATCACACCCTCTTCCCCTAAATTGCACTCTATCCTCTGTTTTCCTCTTCATTTCCTCTCTCAGCACGTAATTTGAGTTTGCCAACAAAATGGAATACAAACCCGATTCTAATATCAACGGCTTGCAAAAGACAAACACAAATGATGGCCCAAGTAAACGCCGAAAAACGGCTCAATTTGACGTTGATCAGTCACCCAACGATGCGCCAGAAGATAACCGGGTTGTTGTACCCACTAATGAAGACGTCGGAGAAGTCGGGGATGAACAGTTTCAGGATGAGGACCCTCTATCAGATGATGGGCATGAGGAGGGCTTCGATGACTCTGATTATGTGGATGGGTGTTCCGACGACTCCGACCAAGAATCCAAGGATCCAGGTATCATCGACATAGAAGATGACCAGGAGCCAGACGATGACAAGACTCCCCCTTACTTGTCTGGTTCAGGGACTGATGATGATGATGATGATGATTCTAGTTCATCTAACTCCGACGCTTATGGTCACTCTCCCTGAAACTACTTCAACATGGTATAGTGCTCGATCTCTTTGCTCGGTTATTTTTGGGAAATGTTAACAATATTTTAACGGATTTGGTTTTTAGTATTTTGTTTAGTTTGGTTTTTTAGATATTAGGTTGTTTAGTTGCCTTTTTTTGTTCTCTAATTTTTATAATTTGATCTACGGCAACCCGACAAGTAAGGGGTTTAAACAATCTTTTGGTGTATAAGGATTATTACAAAGTTGCTTTCATCGAATGATTTATGGTTTAATGGTATATGTATATTAAACAACTCGTCCAAGTACTAAAACTGTTAATGTTTAATGGTTTATGTAATGTTTGAAATACATGTTGATTCCAAAATTGCTTTTCCGTAGTTTTGAATGCTTGCTTGTGGATTACTCTCTCTCCGGTTATGAGGTTAAAACCACACCTGAATCTTTATGTCTTTTTAGTTTGTACTAATTAATTTAATAGATGTAGGACTTAGAAGTCTAACATTGAAATCATACCAAAATGCAACGTACTATTGTCCTATTGACAAATACTAATATGCATCGTAGTAGTGTAATCCCTTTGGAATGCATATAAATATTACATGTTTTGTTACATCTCACTTTTTTATCCTCTTAAAATTAGTTTAATACCTTTCCTAAATTCTAATACTATACATATGTCCATAATATATGTTTTTGTGGTTTGACTCTAAATACCTAATACACTACGAATTACCTAATGCATTCAATCAAATGGGCTAAGGACCTTAGCTACTTCAACTTTGGAATTTGAGTAATAAGATGTGGCTGGGCCCTATTTGGCCCAATAATAAATACATAGATTATTGTAGAAACTAGTCTTTATTGAAACAATTCATAGTAGATTGACTACTAAGATGTTACTAGCCCAAGCTAATTCAACTTTCGAATTTGCCTAATAAGATGTGACTGGGCCCTTTTTGGCCCAATTGTAAATACATAGTTTATTATTGAAACTACTTTTTATTGAAACAAGTCATAGTAGATTGACTACTAAGATGTTACCGGCCAAATTTAGCACAACTTTATTTGTTAAACATTGTTTGCTAATTAACCACCGTACACTAAATTCACTAATAAGATGTCCCAATATGTAATTTTGTTGGTACACATAGTATATTAATAAACAAGTTACAATTAAAACAATTTATGTTACATACAAATACTAATAAGATGTGACACATACCCAAATTGGCGTAATTAAATCTTGTTAAACGTAGTACTTCGTACAATAGTTAACCATCTTTAACATGGACTATTTTACATACATTAACAACTACATCTGGCCTAAATATTATATGAAGGGTGACATTGTTACATACAAATTCATATACTAATAAATGGGGCTCATTGGGCTTCTCATGCTTATAAATTGCAATATTGGGCTTCATATACTTACATATTGCAATATTGGGCTTCCTAAACAAATTTATTACATTGTGCCGTAAAGAATCAATGCATGCTTACAAGGGGTAGTTGGAAGTTTGCAACTTGTATGACAAACTTTTTAAAAATAAAAAATAAAAAATTAAAACCAACCATTGAATTGTGCATTTATGGCACATGTAAAAGCAAAGTTGATAAACGGCAATAATGTGCCGTAACGTCCAAAGCACAACAACAATTCCACGTCAAATGCTCATATGGCAAAGAGGATGAGTCACCCCATACGATTTACCATATTATCCCCCCTTTAATGATGGAAAAGTCTATGTTACCCCAAAGATTGACAAACTAAATTGATCATAAAGATCGACAAGTATTTACCCGGTGTTGTTCACTTTAAGTGTTGATTATGCTTTATTTTATAACAAGAATTTGAATGTAATTGTTGATTAAGTTGCTAAAAAAAAGTGTAAATAAAACTTTTATAAATAGTTGAAGGTCATACATTCTATAAGTTGACTATGCTATCTAAGCCTTTTTAATGTTTTTGACAGAGAAAATTTATTCATCAAGTGTTCATTGACAATATCCGTTTTGAGTTTAAATGGACGATAAACTAATTTCATTTAGTTGGTTAACATCTGGGTGGTAATTTACAAGACCTCAAATCTGATCAATATCATTTGTACTGTCCTTAGCTTGTGGGTTTCTTTGCAAAATATTGATTATGCTTTCTTAGTTGATTACTACCTTTGTTTCATAATAATCGCAACAGTTTGACTTTTGCACTATTTATATACTTTTTATCAATACATGATAAACAACATATGTTGCCAGTAAAATAATTATGGTTTAATCTTTATATATTTTCATTTTATAAACCTTTTATATTTTTTATTAATATATAATTACTATATATATGAATTGTCAAAGTTGTGCATTAGCATGTATACCAGTCAAAGTGTTATGATTATTATGATATGGACAAAGTACTAAGAATTTTCAATCTAAGACTTAGGTCCTGTTCTATTCACCTTATTTTCACTTATTTTATGATAAACAAGCTCTAATAAGTTAAATTTAGGACAAAAAAAATGATAATAATTAAAAATAAAAAGTTCTATTAAGTGTTACTCAAGTTCAAATTACAACCAAAATAAGTTCATCAGATAAGATAAAATAAATTATATAAGCCAAAAACAAGTAAATAGAATACACTTTTTACCCTTACATTAAAGGCATGCACACTAGAGCTATCAATTGAGGCATTCAAGTCAAGTTTGGGTTGGGTCAAGTCATATCTCGGGTTAAATTTAGATCACATCATGTCGGGTAAACCTAGCCTCTAGATTAGGTTTGGGTTTGGATTAGGTCAAGTATGATAATTCAAGTTATGTCAAGTTGTTTATCCATTAGATTTAAGTCGAGTTCAACTTGATTCAAATTCAGGCAACGTTCATTTTCAAGTTTGGGTTTTATTGATCCAGTTGATTTTGAGGTGGTTATATGGCTCAAAATTTCGGATTTGGGTTAGGTGTAAGTGGGGTGATTATCAAGTTTGATTATCTTTATGGTTTTTTTCTTTTCACCTTATATTCACTTGTTTTAATACTTGTGTGAATATGTCAAGCTCCATCTTTTAATTCTTGCAATGTAATAATCTAACACACTTATTATATATTGTTGCACTAACATTGCTAACTAATCGATTTTTCAACTTTACTTGCAGTTTTTATTCAATTCATTCAAATGATGTAATAGTAATTAGACATCTTTCCCGCTCTAAACTTTCTACGTGCTAAGCCACCCAATAATAAGCATACAATTTGACTTAATTCAAGTGGTAACTTTCACTGCTCAAAAGATGACAAAAGTGTGGCTTCTTAATAGAATTCAGTCTGTGGTGTGAGCTTTGGGGACTGAAACTCCCAAGCAACCAGAGCCAGTGCTAACTCTTCAATTTGAAGGGATCATGAGCCTGCAAAAGTGCAAAGGCGGTTACTAGAAAATCAAAGTAAATTTCATGGTCAAGGGAGCAACTCCAACCAATAATTCCTCAGTAGATATTAGAAAACTTATTAGTAGTAAACAAAATCTATGCACATTAGAGAGTCTGAGTGAATCAAATACTTGCAGATATTTTTGTTGAGGTTATATATTTTTAGATCTGATTTGCATGTTCTGCTCAAATCGTTGATTAAGGTTTTTTTTTTTTTTTTTTTTCAATCAGTCAAAATATATGTACATTATATATATATAAACACAACATTTAATTTTAAAATTATGGCTATTCAAAGTTTTTTATAAAAAAAACATGCAAATTCAGCCATGAAATTATGCACATAGTTGGAAAAATATGAACATATCCTTGCTAGACTAGTAATTTTGTCATATGCGAGAAAATAATGACACACAAATCGAGAAATTTCTTGATATGCATAACTTGACATTTACGTTATTTTCTTTGCTAATTTCGATGTCAGTTTGGATCCTTGGAATATAATAGCCCTAAATACCTTAACCGAATAATTTTCAACACGCAAATCTAAACATTAGATGTTTAAAAGAGATATTATAGTTTTTTACATAATTAGGTAACTTAATTTTCTAGTTATTAATAGTGTTAGTCAGGACTCAAAAAAGACTAAACTAAAGGTGTACCCATACGAAGATAGAAAGTTAATAATGTATCGATGGGAGAAGTAAATTCTAAGTAGTGTATCAATGGAATCTCCCATATATTTCAATACATATTAGTGTATGATGATGTGTATATGCTCAAGTAGTAATTCACTTGAATCTTGGACGTGGCGCTAATATGGGTGTAATCCATTGCTTCAAAGGAAGTTTAGTACAGAGAGAGAGAGAGAGGCTTGACGTAAACTAAGATCATTTGGTGTAAAGAATTAGGTTGATAAATAAACTGTACGTTGCTTCTGTGTATTGAATTGATTTGTACAAAATGATCAACTATACATTACAACATTCGCTGCAAGATACCGGTAGATAATCACTCTCATCAACAGCAAAATTTTCAACCTCCGATGCAGAGACCTTGACGCCATGGCAGAAACATCCTGCCCAGACATTGGTCAGTAAATCTCAGCCGCCTTTGAAAGAGAAGGAAATTATCAAAAATACAATCCTTCTCCAAGTTTTGCCTTTTTTCATAAATAATTTACATGATATATTCCACCCATGGTAGAGCTTCAACTTCTGCTTTCTTTTGAAGGACAAGTTACTCTACTATCGAACTAATGCTTGTACTATACATCAATATTTTTAGCTGCTTCCGGCAATAATCATGTCAATGAAAAACTTGGGCTGATGCGTAATACTCGCTTTCATTAAACACTGGTCTCAAATCTTCTTGTGACATGAAGTCAACTGGGAAGGACACAAGATGCCCTTTAACAGATTCTAACCTTTCCAAGGGATCAGTGTCTTTGAGGGTCCCATTTTGATAGCATTCTAACTTCTTAGGAGCTACCCCGAGATCGATGGTAGTATGCCCAAGTCTATCTTTCCAGTGAGCCACATTCTGTCTAAGTGAAACTCTGAAAGAGAAAAAACATGCATGGTTAGTAAGAATA